ATATATATATATATACTAAACATAAATATGTTATTATATTATATATATACATACATACATACATACATACATGCATGCAGTATATATGTGTGCATGATATATATATATATATACACACATTGTGTGCATGACATGTCCTGCACCTGTATGCGTGTGTGTGTGTGCGTGATATTATATGCCTATATACATGTTTTTTTTTATAATGAGGGAAAGCCATGAACTAATCTGCCTTCCAAACCCTAAACCTTGCGAAGCCTAGATTCCTATGGATGGAGCCCTCATGCAAAATCAAAGGCCTCTGCAAAGTTCAAGCCGTGTGCCCCTTACCCGTAAATCCCAAACTCCAAACCAAGAAATCCTACCGGCCTGCATCTTTAAAAAGCCCAAAGCACCCTAAATCTGCATTTATAGGACCCTGAGTAATTCCGGCCGGATAGAACTCCCTTATAGTCCCTGTGTCCCTATATATAGGCTGATGCAACAAAAGCCTATTCTATGTATATACGCTCCTATATTCAATCCTAAACCCCAAATTCCATGAACCCCTTATTCTATAGAACATAATGGGAGCCCTTCTAAGAAACCTCGATATTAACCCTCCGAACACGCACATGTGTCGGCTGTCTGCAGCCACTCTTGTTTTCAGTTTGCTGGTCCAGCTGTGGGACTTGTGCTATAGTGCAAATGGCAAAGACCGACATGGAAGCTGAAAAGATTGCTGCTGAGGCCACTGTAATCAATCCTGAGTCTTACTCATGCCTTTGTGTCTTTGCATATAGCTTCCCTGGCCAGTTGCTGAGCTCGAAGAGGGCTTGTGATGCTGGGCGCCAGGATGGGCTGCGTGTGCATTCCAACATGTCCAGAATGTCTTGGCATCTTGTGATTGCAAATGGGCCTGCGATATCTGATGTTATTGCTTTTGGGGCTGCCCGAGAAACCTACTCATGCTCATACTGCTCTCTTCCCGGCCCGCCAAAGAAAACTCTAAAGCTAATAAACCCTAAACCCCAGACCCGAATACACCCTACAGCCCCTCATAAACCCTACCCTAAACCCTAAACCCTGATCGGCCCAGAGCAACCGCCAATCTCAAGCCTTCATGAGCAACCCGACTTCCTGACAGCGTCAAAATTCGAAACCCTAACCCACCAAACCCAAAACCCCAAACCCTTCTTGAGTGGACATTTGAGACCTCGGGGAGGGAGGTTTGGATTTAGGATATTGAGGCCTTTATGCTGAGGGTTTTTACATTGGTAAACCTGGTTTTGTGAATAAGTTTGGGTAGCTTGGGTGCTTTAAGGTGAAGGGGGCTGAGGGTTTCAGGGCTTCGGAGATTAGGGCTTAGTTCTTGTCTTTGGCTACCATACGGGCCTAATTGATTACCTGTACTATCTTGGGGGTCCTTAAACTATATGAGCATGCTATTATCATAATTATATAAGGCTGCTATATTTTTAGGGGTTTTAGGATCTAGGTGTTTGGGCTTTGGGGTCTGGTAACTCCAAAGCACCGGCAGGTATGCCATTGTGTCGTCCAAGCGCAGAATGTAGGTGCAGTGAGTCCTCAGATTGGAGTTTAGGATGGTTTATAGCGGTGTTTAGGGCTTAGGGTAGACGGCCATAGGCCACTGGATTTAATTAGGGTTCGGTGTTTAGGGTTTAGGGACAGGGCATCGTGATGAGTAATTCCTCGGCCCTAAAGCCGCAACGTCCTACTGCTGTGTAGAACCATTTTATCGACGACGACGACTACTGCTACGACTGCTAGTACTAGCTACTACTCCTACTCCTACTCCTACTACTACTACTACTACTATACTACTACTACTACTACTACTACTACTACTACTACTACTACTACTACTACTACTACTACTGCTAGTACTCCAGATGGTGCTGCTACTGCTGCTGCCGCTGCTTCTGCTGCTGCTACTGCAGCTCCTGTTGTTGTTGTTGTTGTAGTTGTTCATTGCAATGTGGTGTTACTGCTATTATATACTGCACGACTACTATTGCTACAACCATCATGCATGCAGTAAACCCTGATACAGAAATTCTTGTTAACTTCAGAGCTCAGAGCCTTGGCTATCCCAAGATTAGACCCCAAAACCTGAGCCGAGAGCCTTGAAAGAAAACCGAACTAATCCCCCAAAAAGCTGGTTCTGTGGTGTCCTATTCTGCATCCTGCCAGCAGGACAGCCAAAGCACCATTGTATGCCCAGGCTCCTCTTGCAAGGCAGCTTGTTGCAGCCCTACATACGGAAAGGTATCTGTGCAGTGTAGAGCCTGAACCCCTTTTTTTTGCGATGTCACATTTCTCAAATCATGCCAATGCAGGCCGAGACTTCTCTTGAGGGGGACTCCACAGCCAGCCCCTCTTCGTTTGGGGCGGCACCGTCGCTCCTCGGACTTTCGTGCTTCAGTTGCATACCCAGCATTCGCACGCATGCCTGTTGCATGCATATATCATATCAGTACGCCTATGCCAGCAGGTCTTTCGGCACTGCCACAAGCTTTGAGAGCAATGCTTCCATCGACATTCTGTCATCGGATGATGAAGCGGAACTTCGAGGTGGGTCCCGGGGTGACACACCTCCCACCAAGAAGGCAAAGGCCTGCGCTGTGCCATCGGTCAAGATGGAGCGGGATATGCCCAAAGCTTTGGCCCCTGCTGTTCCTGCCAGCCCACCTCCCAAGCAGAGCCCTGTGCCGTTGGGCAAGGCCGTGCCGGCAAGTGCTCCCCCTCCAAAGTCCGCCCCTCCCGGCCCAGGTGTCGGTGGGCGAGTGAAGGTGGAACCCTCCCTGCAGACCCCTGCTTGGAAGTCCAAAGACTGTTGGCTCTGCCCGGTCTCGGGGCATCCGCCGACATCCAACAGTTCATCGAACGGAAGGAAGCTGCAATGCAATACAAGGATGTGCAGCAGATGGATGGCTCCATCAACCGACTCTACTGGGCCCCGTTCCCGACTGTGGGCCCCACTGCCAAGAAAGCTAGTCCCGCCAGCCCGGTTGGCATTCCACCACCCAGCAACAGGGCAGTTACCTTTGCCCCTGTGCCGGCAACTGTCGCTAAGAGCACTTGCACTGTGTCTGCGCAGGCAGTGCCCAAGCAGGGCATCCTGAGACGGCCCACGACGGATCTTGCTGATGAGCCGATTGTATTCAAGCCTGCTACAGCAAGCCAGGTCCAGGATTTCTTCATGAATGCCAAAGCTCGGCCGGTCGCGACGCCTGTGCGTGTGTGCAAGGGAGAAGTTCCTTGCGAGGCAGCTGTGAGGGCCACGCCCACGGCTGAAGCTCATCAGAAGGCGACAGATGCCCCTGCTGCGATCGCATGCAAGGGTGAAGCTCATCAGAAGGCGACAGATGCCCCTGCTGCCATCGCATGCAAGGGTGAAGCTCATCAGACGGCCACAGGTGCCCCTGCTGTCACGAACGCTGAAGGTCATCAGATGGCCACAGGTGCCCCTGCTGTCACGAAGGCTGAAGGTCATCAGAAGGCCACAGCCCCTCCTGCCAGTGCTTGCAAGGGTGAAGCTCTTCAGATGGCCGCCCCTGCTTCCAAGACTGAAGGTCATCAGACGATCACAGGTGCCCCTGCTGTTACCCATGAGGCTGCACGTCACCCCACCAATCTTCCAGGTCATGACACGGCAGCTCCCAAAGCTGCTGCTGCTCCCCCCAAGGCTGCTCCCCCCAAGGCTGCAGCCCCTTCTTCCTCTGTTCAGACGGCCCATGGATTGTTGGTGAATGCCACGATTGCTCCAGGGGCTTCTTATTTGCAATAGCAATATCATGCCGTTATGGGGTTCAGGCTCTGCTGCTGCAAAGGCTTCTAGCTATATATGCATGGCATTTATTCTAGTACGTACGGTTAGAAATGTAGAAAACCGGGAATCTCACACTCACGCCTCAGTTTTGGTCCATTGCATTAACATTCTGGGCCCAAGTTGGAGAATTATATAGATGGTTTGATCCCCAAACCTAAACCCTAAACCAACTTCAGCCCAAAATCCATGAAGAGCCCAGTCGCAAGCCCAGAGAAGTCAGGAAGCTCTCGAACCTGTCAACTACAAAGAGCGCCAAGCAGCCTACGCTACTTTCAAGAGGCGACTGCACCTGCAATCTAGCCCTCATAAACATAGGGGTTGGATTTATAATGTTTGTAGACATATATACATGATATAGTGTTTATATACATATAAAGATGTACCCCAAAAGTATTCGAACAAGGGTTTATATACATATGTATACATATAGACGGGGTGGTGTATGTATGTGTACGTATATGTGCATAGAGACAGGGCTTAGGATTTAAGGTTCTGGGTTCACTCCTGTTAGGGACGGGGTTGTGAATGGTCACAAAGACCATGAGTTTGCCAGGATATTGTTATATAAGCATAAGTGAGCCACTTCATTAGATTACAGCATGGCTGCAGGGCTCAATTGAGTATTTTGTTTTCATTGGCCCCGATGCTTTTTCGAGGCCCTAAAGTTGAAAACCCTTTAGACTTTAGACAATAGAAGCCCAGAGCCCCTAAAACCTGAGGCCATCAAGCCCTCAACATGAAAACCCTAGAACCCCGAAATCATAAACCCTAAAATCCTATAACCCCTCGAGCCCAAGACTGTAAACCCCATATAAGCACCCAAATCCCAAACCGCCCAAACCCGAAACCCCTAAAACCCAAAACCCCTAAACTCACGATTGTTACAAAGTTGAGGCCTCAACTGCAGAAAGCTATGTTTAGAGGAAGATTGTGCGATAGTTTCCTAAACCCTATAATAATAAGACCTAAACCCTGTATCGATCTCAGGCTCTACATGGGCTTGATATTCCTAGCTTATGGGGACTTGTAGTCATCCTACACCCAGAAGGCCATGTAAATCCTAAGCGCTACACCCGAGGCCTTAAAACCCACGTTTAAACCCGTGCGGATGGCAGGCAGGTCACTTTGGAGGTGGCATCGGACATACCTCAGGAGGTCATCAAGGCTTGGGAAGAGGCCGTCGAAAGTCGGAGCAAGGCCAAGAAAAACGACGTCTTTCAGATGTTTCTGAAGTGTGGTGGTGATTGGGGGCGGCTTCTCGATAGCAGTCACATGCAACCATAAGGATTGAAAGGCAGCTTGCTCCTAGCCTGAAATCCAGTCAAAAAGCTACTCTTGAGGCTGAACTTCCGGGCCTCGAAGAGCCGGGTGGACATCACGCGGGGCACACGTGTGATGGGCACTTTCCTCAGATTGCAAAGGCAGTCTGCATATGTCTGACATGCTAGATTTCTAGACCTGCCACTTTGCATTACAAGTCTGGACTCCAGGCTTACTGGCTCACTCGCTCCACTCTCTCACTCTCTCACCCACTCCCTCACCCACTCACTCACTCGCTCACTCACTCTCCCTGTCCTTGTTTCGTGAAGAGAGACGTGTCCAACTAGCACCCTTTCCTCTCTCTTCTCTTCTCTTCTCTTCTCTTCTCTTCTCTTCTCTTCTTTTCGCTTCCCTTCCCTTCCCTTCCCTTCCCTTCCCTTCCCTTCCCTTCCTCTCTCTCTCTCTCTCTCTCTCTCTCTCTCTCTCTCTCTCTCTCTCTCTCTCTCTCTCTCTCTCTCTCTCTCTCTCTCTCTCTCTCTCTCTCTCTCTCTCTCTCTCTCCCTCTCTCTCCCTCTCGCATGTTTTTTAATATGTCTTGCTGTCTCCTGCATGGTGTGTGTGTGTGTGTGTGGTGGGGAGAGCGGCATGCAAACTCCTGGTTATGCTACTGAAACGAGCGCCACCACCACCGCCGCCACCAACAACCTCACCACCATGCACCGGCAGCACCACCACCACACCCCTATGTTTATGTATATATATATATATATATACATATACATATTGTGCATCCATACACCCCCCCACCCGATGTTTCTGGGCTGGATGGAACTGGTCGGTCTGGATGCTTTGTGTCTGGTCGGTCTGGATGCTTTGTGTCGGCTGGTCGATTGGCTTACATACATTCTCCCTTCATGCAAGGATGGAGGACGAGACATCAGCTCATTGAGCTCCACCGCGACGAACGAGCCGTGGAAGGGTTGATTCAGCGCAAGAAGTCCGAAGGCAAATTCAGGTATCATCCTGACTTCGAGGGCGATGCCGGAATGCTGTTGTATTATGCTTCTTGTCATGCATGCATCTTCATCTCGTATGCATTTCTTCTTGTGGCCTAGGGTGAGCATAACACATACGGACTGTTTCATTGCAAGGTTTGTGTTGACCAGTCGCTCGTCACAGAGGATGTGCAGGAGGGCAGAGTCGACGTAGCCGTGGAGGCCGAAATGGCCGCGAATTCCGAGGCCATCTAGACTTATATCAAGTTTCCGGTTCAATCGAGTAACAACGTTCTGCCAAGGCGGCGAACATGATTGCATCAGCGGCCGTGCTTTCGAGCTTTGACGCCAGTTCATCAGTTGAGCCCTCCCTTCCAAGTGCAAGCACCGAGGGAGGTGTGGATCTGAATGGAAAAGGCAACGGAAAGGGGATCCGAAACAGGAACAGGAAAGGCTTGGGCAAAGGCGGTGACGGTGATGATTCTGGCAAGAAGACCAAGAAGTGCGACGAGTTTCCTGGAACAAACTGAGCCTGCTGATGTGGTTTCGTTACACATGTGCATGCAAAGAGAAGGCGGTTCCATTTAAGGCCGCTTCCAGAGGATCCTCACGAAGCGCTTGTGGTGATGGAAGGGCGCATTCTGACGGCCGTGAAAGAATGCAAGGTGCTTCCACTCATGATGTCAAGCCTGAAGCACCAGGCGGAGCTCCGCAAGTTGAAAGCATTATAAGGGTCATGTGCTGTGTGGACCATGCAGTATATGGAGGCATGGACGGCAGTTCATGCGAGAAACATCTGAGGCGAAGTGCTTGTGAACCATTCTGAAGAGCTCGAGCGCAGCTTCTTGCAGCTAAGTGCCTACCGCAAGTTGGTGCCCGCCCCAGGGGACGCACTTTAAAGTGTGTCACATGTGTGTGTGTGTGTGCACTGTTTACGTGTGTACGTGTCTGTGTGTGTGTGTGGGTGTGTGGGTGTGTAGGCGTGTGTGTGTGTGTGTGTGTGTGTGTGTGTGTGTGTGTGTGTGTGTGTGTGTGTGTGTGTGTGTGTGCGTGTGTGCGTGTGTGTGTGTGTGTGTTTGCCTGCTTGTGGGTGTCTGTGAAAGACACTAATATCGCTTGACTTGTGCACACTGTCCCACTATCCTAGCTATGTAATTATGCATGCATTGCCTGACTTGTTGCTTTGTCGCTCCGGTCCCTCCCAGACACTCTCTGCCTCTCTCTCTCTCTCTCTCTCTCTCTCTCGCTCTCTCTCTCGCTCTCTCTCTCTCTCTCTCTCTCTATCTCTCTCTCTCTCTCTCTCTCTGGCTCTCCTTGTGTGTCTCTCTCGCTCCCTCCCTCCTTACGTACCCACTTATACATGCACTCCATAGACCCCTGTCGGGAGGGGCTGTGCCATAGCAGGGGGGTCAAGGTTTAGGGTTTAGGGGTCTAGAGTTTCGGGTTATAGAGGTTTATATGGAGTTTATGGTTTGGGGGACTTATGCAAAAAAGGGTTTGTGGTGTCAGGGTTTCGGGGTTCGGGCTTTCTTCGTTTGTGGTTTATATAAGGAAGTATAGGGGTATTGTACATGTCCATGCATAGACAACTGAATATGAGGGTCTTCGAAGACGGAAAGGCTGAACCAGGGGTGTCTATATAAGGCAATTAGTTCGACGAAATCATATCCTGCTATCGAGGCCTTGCTGGCCTAGCTTCCTTGAGCCCTAACCCTAAGCCTCAAACCCAATAAAGCCGGTATAGGGGTTGTATGCACGGGCTACCGCAATCCCAAAGCCTCTAACACCCCCTAAGCCCCTGTATAGCTTTAACCCAAAGCCCTCAAAATTGCCAGGTGCCGGCGGACATCGTGACAGAGACACTCGTTGCATCGAATCAGCTCGCCCTGGACCGGTGGCGCTTTTACTTGGAGGATGCGGAGATCGCCAAGGGTGTCATCGCAAAGCACAAGAGGTCGGCTAAGAAGCAGGACAGTCGGACTCAAGTGTACAACTCTGAGCTTCAGGATGCTCCCTTAAGTTTTCATCTGCATGCTTCAGGACGAAGCGGATGCCTGATTGCAATGAGCGCAGCCGCAGCAGCAACCTTGGATGGATCAGGTTGTTCTTTGATCTACCTTTGCAGGCTTTTCAGCTGAAGCGATCAGCTATAGCCAGCTTGTTTCAATGTTCCAAAGCTCGTTACCATAACGACGGGGTGCGAGGACACACTGTGTGTGCATATGTTGTGTGCTATCAAGCAGCTTTGATCCTGGAGCCGTGTAGCCCCAACCCGATCCTCGGTCTTATCATGCATGGGACCCGCCACAGTGCAATTGAAAAGTAGCTATATACATGTATCATGTATGCTGCTTCAGGTTGGGGATGTGCGGCTTCCTCTCTGTATTCTGCACTAGCCATTTAAAGATGGTGGTTTAGGCTCTGATTCTCAACACGCGGAGCTTTCTGTGGGAGGATCCCAAAGCTGCTTGCGGGATTTGCAACCACAACCGCGAAAAAGTGGTTGTGCGAGTGCAAACATGCAATTATGTGTCTCACACAGCTAAATGTGTCATCGCCTTGAAGCTGTGACGGCACGTGCGAAGAAACATGGCAGACAACTAGAGGCTTCAATGTGCTCTATCAGACTGTCTGCATGTCCATTGG